GGATGCTTTTGTTCGGGAGAAGTGAGTCAGACAGATCTGGGATGGCTTATTTACTGTGCAACCTTGGCCATATTTAGTCTATCTGGGTCTTAATTTTACCATCTGTAGAACAGAGTGGTGGGCTTGGAAATATGCTGCCAGATCTCCTTCCAGGAAGGACTCACTGATCACCCACAAGATGTGTGGTCAGCAGCCAGCTCCCAGCTGTCAGCTTCTTCAGGATCTGCCTCGGCAGCAACAAACTGCCGCATCCGAGGTCATGCCCTTCCCTGAGCAACCCACATCCAGCTACTGAGTAAGGGAGCCTGGACGGCGGGGCTACACCTGCTCCAGGCCTGCCCATTCAGGCTGGGCTGGAGCCGTGTCCCTTTGACTTCTGCCCACTTTGGAGTCTTCCCTTTTCCCTTCACAGGAGTTGATCATTAATAAACATCTTGCACCCCACGCTCTACCTCAGCATCTCCTTAAAGAAAACCAAACCTATGACAAATAAGGATCATGATTTTCACTTCAAGGGGTTACTGTGTGAAGGCTGCATGGGATGCTTATATGTATCTAATACTGCCGGGAATGTTAACAAAGCACGACAAATATCTAATTCTTTCCCGTCCCTTCCCTGGAAATGGTGACACTAAATCCCATTCCAGGCCTTGAGCAAGTGTTCATTACTGGGCTCTGTAATAACGGTTTGGATAAAGCCCAGGGAGGAAAGTGGCCCTGAAGGTCTGTGTGGGCTGCTAGGTCGGAGGGCCTCCCCAAGGTGTCTGGAGCCGGTCTTGTCCCTCTTGAAGTTCATTGTGCCTGGATCACACCGGCCCTCTTAAGGTTCCTCATGGAAAAGAAATGGAGCATGCAAATACTCTTTATCATAATCACCATGTATCCACAGGGTAATTCATAAAAGTGCTGGAAATATATTGAAATTCAATATTGTTTTAGTCCAAATCAATATTAATAATTGTTTGCATTTTAAAGTGCACTTTGCAATTGAAAAATGCACAAAGATCAACCAGTAGATGCTAACACATCAAATTTTCCTATTAAAGGCATAGTACCTTCACTTTAAAATGTTTCTTACACAACTGAGGATGGCGCTGATCCATGAAAATGGTTATTTATTATTTACGTGCACAACATTAGAATTTGCTTCCATTATGCATGAGCTGAAAGGCCAGTAAGTTTTATTTTTAAGTTCTTGATTTTTTTAAAGTTACACTTTTTATTTTGAGATAATTTTAGATTCACCTACAGTTATAAAAAATAATACTGAGAAATCATGTGTACCCTCTATCCCATTTTCCCCAATAGTGACATCTTATACAACTATAGTACAGTATCACAGTGATGATATTGATGTTGAAATAGTCAGGATAGAGCACATTTTCATCACTCTAAGGATTCCTTGTGTTGCCCTTTTAAATATCTTTAAAAATTAATTATTTTTAAATGACAATGGTAACTATTAGATTTCTGCCTCATAATGATTTCTATCAATAAGTGAGGCACTAACCTAGCTGGGTCCCATGTAGGGATTCAAGCAGAGCAGTGGTCACCTCAGTAGGGAGTGGCCTTAGCCAGACTTGCCTCGGCCAGGCAGGCCTCAGGGGGGCATGGGCTCTGTGGGTCAGAAAGAACCTGAGAACACAATTTACAGTTTGACACTTGCGTTATGGGCCTTTGCTCCCTCCACAGAGACAAAGTTGTCTCAAAGAGAGACAGTTTGGCAGCTTTGATCCACAGGGGCCCAGCAGTGACCCAGATTTGTGACAAGGGGGTAGGTGAAGGAGAGCCTCACCAGAGGCCACCTGCTCTGCCTGAAAGTGGCCTCATGCAAATGAAATTGACAAGGTGCCTTTCTGTTCTCTAAGACGTGTGTCTCACACCAGAGTTGCAGGGAACTTGGGAACACATCCACAGTGGATATTTTGGATGCTGACTGATTCTGCGATTAGGAAAATCAAATCTTGGGGTGTGCCTGACTGGAAGGACAGTCAGACACACCCCACTCTGAGCACATATCCATCTCATGGCACCTGCTGCTTGTTTGGCTTCCCGGGCCGCAAACTCAGCTCCCCGTGTCCTGGTCATGCTTCGCATGGTCATGAACTGGACCACTCTGGTCCTTCTCAGCTTCTGGGCCCACTCCCAGGACCTGTGGGATGAGTGAGACTAATAGTAGAGAGTGGTTTCTGCTCAGTGTCAGTATTCCATTTGCTTTCATTGATTTTTTTTATTGTGATAAAATATATATGTAAAATTTTCCATTTTAACCATATTTAAGCACAGAGGCATTAAGTACATTCACATTGTTGTGCAACCACCACCACAATCCATCTCCAGAATTTTTTTTTATCTTCCCCAGCAGAACCTCTGAACCCATCTTACCTAATAATAGACAAACATGGTAATTGACCATACCTTCGCTACACCTCCCATTGGCTAATCAGCAAGATATGCAAATTAACTGCCAAAAAAATATGGC